TTATTATTATTATTATTATACAAAAAGGAAGAAAACGGAAGGCAGTAAGAAGGAAGCTTCAACGCGACGATAAGACACGACCCATTGAGAGAAGATGTATTGTGCTGACGACAACGGCGAAGACGACGACGACGACGACGACGACGGGATCGAAGGCCGTCGAGGCGAGGGGGGAAATTCATTCTATACGTGGCGTAATATCTACATGCGTCATGCGGTGTGCTTTCTCTAGGAGGTGAAAATTCTTAACTTTCTTCGGCCATAGAGACATTCCTACCACCGCCGATGATGCTTGGCACCGCGCGTTCCCACAGCTTTTCAGTACTCCGCCGGTTTTGTCTATTATTGACGCATCTTCTCCTCACTTCCCGGTGTTACTGGCGCCGCCGAGACGATTTCGCCTTCGATCGGCGTTCACACTTCACAATACGTTATGTCACCCCCGCGGGAGATTCTCTTCTTTTTTTTCTTCTTAGACCCGGCGGTTTTCTACCTTTGTCGGCGTGGGAGTTTCACGGCTGCACGCCGATTTTCTAACTTCGTCGGCGTGATTTGCGCTTTTCGAGATGCTCATACGCATTTCTTTAGCGCGCGCATTTGAGAGTATCTCGATTTATAAATTATTTATATTATAGCTGGATTAAGAAGATTTGTTGGACGTCGGGCTATGAATGTGCTATACGAAATGTCATTAGTATATTGCATAATTTGTTCCCCTTCCCTCTCCCAAAAAATAAATTATCCTTCATACCGGAAACCTAATGCAAACAGAGGTCTAACTCGCCAGGTGATGAATTGGGAGAGATATTTCTTACCGGAAGAAATCGCGCGGTGTGTCGGTTATACCGAAGAACGGAGATGCAGAATCGTGATGCAGCTTCTTGCGCACGTATCGATTTTCCTGACCCCGGTGACCACGTACCCCTTCCGCCTTGGATACTTCCTGGAAAGTATATAACGCCCCGCCGCCGGCGCCGCGCCGCCGCCGCCGTCGCTCGGGCCTACGGTTTATATCCGTCTGTTAGCGAGGATCGGTGCAGCGCTATTATACAACACGCCGTTTCTCACGATACCCCATCGTACCATGGTCCGTCTAATTGATAATCATTGCTATCGGATTTATGAGCGACTTGAGCGAGCAAACTCTCATTTTCTTAACATGTTAAATAAATTAAAGTAAGAATTTATAGCTTGTCGTGCAGGAGCATCGTGGATCATTATTCTTATATTATTGTCTTAAAATAAAAAAAGATTTTTTACTCAATTTGAAAGATCATCAACCACTCTGATACCCAATCTCGATTGTTATCAATTATTGTGT